GTCTTTGTGTACTTAATGTCTGTAGCCAACAAAGCTCTGCCTATCGCAGTGCTCCAGCAGGGTTATGCAGCGCCGCCGTGGACGCTCCCCAATGGCAAACAGCTGCCACAACCACCACGGCCATCAATGATTCACGGGGGCATTGCCTTCTTGTGTACCTCTGCGGCTGGCAAACTGAGGCCCCGCTGCATGGAAGGGTGGCGAGTAACAGCCGCGGGAGTTTACCAGCATTAGCTCATGGTCGCGCTGCCGAAAGAAGAACTAGTTAATCATTGTACACCTGTCATGTGACATGATGCCTGGAATCGCTAGTGTGCCAAAAGTCAACGGAAGCACACTGGCTTGAACCGGCCACAATAAAAAGCTCTTCGACGGGAAACATTTTTTTTGATTTATTGAACATGAGAGGGAAGTCTTGGCGCAGGCTGTGGCCAGAGTCTATATAAATCTCTGCACCGTATGTATGTTTGATGGGTTTTGGGTCAGAGGATTGACATAACCAGGTTAATATTGCCGCACTTTCCCAGAAAGAACACACAATTGCTCAAAAGGGAAAGAGAGGGAAGGAGGGAGGATGTGCACCTCTGACCGAAGGAAGAAGGCAGGAGATCCATCTATAAGTGCCTCCTGGGGACCACTTGCTGGTCTCCCACCTGACGCTGCACGTCAGCCCCGAGTCTGGTGCTCTTGGCTGGATGGAGGAGGTGATCAGGGAGTTGATCCCCCCCCCCACTCCAGTGGAGCTTCCCTACTCCTGCTAATCCATTGGCGGAATGAAATACACCCCCAACTACAATACTCATTCTCTCACGTGCGCCAACACACACACACACACACACACACACACACACACACACACACACACACGTCCCATTACCCCTCTGTCCCACTAGATTTGGGGGGGAGGGAAGGCAGGCAGGATGTGAGACCAGCTGGTCATCAGCTCAGACAAAGAAACCTGCTGAATGTGCTTTTGCATCAAAAAGAATCTTTCACTTTGTTGTTTCTTCATGGCCTCACCAGCTCTGAATCACTTTTGAGGCACTGTGGTACAGCCTAATTCTTCTAAAGGGGCGGGGAGGGGGGTGGGGGCAGCGTGATTGCAGAAGTTTAAAGAAAAACTCCCTCATGGATATGTCTTAATCAATCAGGGTGGGTGTAGAGCCATTCTCAAACTGCCGAGGTCTTATAGTCTGGCCCAATACAGTAAAACAAAATAGAGACAACAAATGCAACGTAAGGTGCGGCTACACTTCTTGAGCTGTAGTCTCTCCAGCTTCAACGGGCTTCACCACAGCAGGAAGGAGAAAGAGAGAAACGATGGTTGTACCGCAGTGAGGCCGGTGGCAGGTGTAATTTATCTTTGGTGCTGGCCTGGTTCAGCTAGCCGCTGGGGAGAGACGAACCCCGGCTCTCCTGTGAGAGGGAACTGGAGACCCGGGGAGGGGACGCAGACTGCAGAACTCACAGGTACGCTGGAAGGACACCGTGTAAAGTCCACATGACCTAGATTATTTTACTTCCATCGGTGAGCACCATACTTTTGGCCTTAAAGCCCGGTGGGGATGGATTACACTCACACCTTTGTTGGTATTAATAGATGGGTGGGACACCACCTGTTTTCAATTAGACGGAAGCTTTTAATCTGCCATGAGTAGATAATAATAAAGACTAATGAAACTGGAATTATTGCTTTATAATGGAATTGGGTTTATCTTGACCTGAGGCTGAACATACACACGGGACTCAAGAGAAAACACTTCAGCACGTCGATGTGCTCAAAAAAAGAGAGACTAAAATGGCAAAGAAGCAGATGACACACTGAGAAGCACTGGTGTGTATAAAATGGGGAGCGGGGGTCACAACTGAGGTGCTATTGGGCTTTTTCAAAGGCGAGTGAATCCCTAATCTGCTCTTTAGCCACAGAACTGTCAGCATGCGTGCGTACACACGCGTACACACACGTATACACACACACACACACAGGCGACAGTTGAGGACTAAAACAATTGCGGTCACATGTCCTATTTATCACAAACAGGCTTCCTCTTTATTCAAAAACAAAAATATAATTTTAAATCACTTCTGGTTGTGCTAAGGGAATCAGTAACATATCAAGTGTACGTGGACGGTCCTATTGGGTAATAGTACCGGGAGCAACATGCATAAAACCTGTTTTACAAAGTCTTATGGGTACACACCCATCAGGGATTAGAACCCTATTTCAACAATGGAAAAACTCAAGAGAAGAAGTAAATGTATGTGTGTCAAGAGACATTTTGGGACTGTTGCTGCCCACAGCACCTGCAGCACAGCTGGTTCCTCCAGCAGGTGCAACTGACCCACACAAATCTTAGAAGGGATCATTTGAGTCATGATATGCTTGCGCCTGGTCAAGGGCAGTGCAAACGGAACACACACACACAGCAAAGACATTTGATATATGGGAATGGGGGTAATCAGACTTGTGAATGGACGTCTTTGTAACCGGTCACGTGACTTGACAATGGCTATAAAGACAGTTCCCTCTTCCTCAACATGATCTTGATGTCAAAGCACACGGCCTCATTTCAAACTACTCTACTGAAAACAGGACAAGTTCAGCGAAGCATCAATTTGATAGTGGGGAATGCACCTTTAACCAGACTATCACAAGCAATTCATCAATAATTGACTTATCATCACAGCTCTTCAACTTTAAATCCACCAATAGCAAATCAAGAGTCCCAACGCAGACCACCTGAGATTAGCTTCTGTGTGATCATAAAACAGAGCAGCATTAAGGGCTAAGGATGTAAACAGCATGAGGGGAATTCCTGACCAGCTGCCTACTTAGAAGGCTTCTCTAACCTCATTCCATACAGGTAAGTCATACTTAATGCTACCATTTCATGCAGTATAATCGCTGCTTGGATCAAATCTTGCCCTAAAATCAGACAAAAACCGTCATCGTAAAATTCCCCCCTTTTTTCTACAAACATAAAATGGTCTTTACGCTGCAAATTAAGACATCATTACCGCAGAGGGTATAATCTAAGATTGGTGGGCAGTGTGGTGGGGGTGAGTCACAGCAAACCTAAGAAACCATCAGGGCGTCTAAATCTCCATCTGCTCACTAAGTTAAACCCTGAGTAACACAATCTATAACCCCAGAGCACCAAACAACACTCAATTAAATGGGAACGCACATCACAATTGCTTTATTGATGGTTATTAATTCAAAACATGTCATTAGCTCTGCGTCACGTTTAAAGTATGTTGCAAAAAAAATGGGATGACAGAGATAGACTAACGAGTCAGTCAACAAACTGGTCTCTGACTTGAATGTACAGCGACAGCACACTCAAATACATAAAGGACATTCAGACCATCATCACCGGCTTATGAGCTCATCCGTGGTAATTCCATTCTTCGTACAGTCACTGGCTTTGTTCCCAACCCCTGTATGGGCCTTGACCTCTCACACCGCTCCCCCGCTGACACGGAGGTCCAGAGAGGGCCCATGTGCTTTGTGTCTGCACGCCACGCATTCGCCGGGACCACACGAGACATTCTGTCATCACGCATTTATGTCTCCTGGTCGAGGCCAGCACCACCCGGAGACCGCCGGTAAGCTGACGGTGCCGGAATATTTGAGTTGCATCTGTCGTTCGGCATTTCGGGGGCCATGCACCAGGTACACTGCGGATATCTGACAGGTAGGAACTTAGTGGAGGGAAGATCTGCGCCCTGCAAGTAAGCCTCATCGGCCAAAGTAGGCTGTGGTTTCCCCCCCCAAGAAAACTAGGTTGAAGATGGGTTAAATATTCAGCGGAAAGAAAAACAGTGGAGCTCAGAGCCAAGTTTGTGTCCCCAGAGTGCTTATGCATGAGGTCATATTTTATCAAACCGACTCAGATGTAGAATAATTATCCATGTGTAAAAGCTATAGCATGGCAGAACAAAAGGGCTTGTTTAAAAAATTAGAAGCAAGAAGGAATGACATTGTTTGCGACTCCCAAAAGGCGACAGGCTCTGTTGATCTTGTCTTGTTAACGGTCTTCATTAGTGAATGTGCCACTTGCCCCTTCACAACTAAACTAAAGCCATGAAACGTGAGGCACTGACAACGGCTACTGACCAGTCTATTCATACAGACCCCCGTGCTGCATCACAGCCAGGCCCTTGTTCTGATTAGGAACAATGAACTGAACTGAATAAAACGAAGAGAGAGTCAACCAAGCAAGCTTTGTTCCACATCTTCAGAGAACTATAAGGAAACCAGACCAACAACATATCCTCTTCCCTTAAAACAAACTCTTTGGCCATGCAAAGAGGACTTTTCTCAGATTTCACACAGTGGGTGTGTGGGTGGGCACAGCGATTCATTCCACGCATGCCTTCCCACACTGAATCCCACCCAACCGGCCAGCGATGGCCTTACTAAAGGCAACATGTTGTGTGCCAGTGGTTTTGAAAGTCCCTTTGAACATGCAGCATCTGCACTCCGACTAAGACACCCCATCATCCTGGTCTGTTTAAATTAAACACAGGTTAATCAACTTTATTACCCGGTACCCACATTGAGACTCGGGTTTGGAGCTTATTTTTGTCGTTGTTGGACATTGCTGAAATAGGGTCATGCACCTAAAAAATGCAAAACGAATGTACTGCATATCTGTCATCCTTGTGTAATGCTGATACAGCACTGCAAGGCATGACGACTACATCGATTTCTCAATTCCCAAGGAAGGAGGTAGGAGGATGTGGCTGTAGAGGTGATGCTAAACAAGCTTTGTCGCCCGAAGTAACAGTTTGCTTTTCCTTTTACACATAATTGGTGAATTAAACACCAATTATGTGTAAGTGTGGGCGGTGCTGCAGGCATAATTACACGCAGTTAAAACAAGGACACCCTCCAAATCGGATCCAACGACACAGTCGTCAGGGAGCAAAAACGCACATTTCCCGTTGCCGCACAGCAGGCGTTTGTGTTGTGTGAACTCTGCACGGTTGCATACCTTGGGCAGCTCTTTGAGTTGGTTGGCGTCGAGGAGAAGCTCCTCCAGACTCCGACTGTAGCGGAAGACCTCATCGGGGACAGTCTGCAGGTTGCAATGTCGCTTGTCCACCGACTCGACGTGGCGGTTGCAGCGCCACAGGGGGATACACTTCAGCATGGCCGGCCGCCGTTGGGGAGGGCGATTGGGTCGCCGGTGCTACTGAAAACCCCGCATCGGAGGGTGAAGGTCGGCGGGGGAGAGAGGGCTCACTCAATGTCAAAAAACAAACACTCGGGGTGTTCCCACGACGATCCGGAACAGGAGGCCGAAATCCACTTAAGAGACAACCAAAAAAAATAATAATCCCTGCGGTGTGTTTGCGATATTCCCAGTTTTAGTTCAGCGGTGCTCGAGGGTTGTCAGGTTGGTCCCTAGCGTCAGCCACCCCGGAATAACAAGTATTACCAACACACATTAAAAAAAGAAGAAAAAAAACACACAACTCTCGCTTGGCTGACGTGCTTTCTTACTTCTCGTACTCATTCACAGAGACGGTTAGCTTGTTTGGCTACCGCCACATCCCCGTGTAAGACCCGCCGTGGCTAACGGAAAAACATGCAGCCAACGACCCCAGCGATACGTTAAACGCCGCTTCAATTAGCCCGGTCATGAGTGGTGACCACTAAAACAAAGCTAAGAAACCGCACTTGAGTTGAGGGTTACTGATGAATAACTACCATACAACACGGTTCACGTAACCCACGGAGCGAGTCGGTGGAGATTAACCCCGGGTAAGGCTGCGGAAGGAAGTGCTCGTCCCCACCGGCTGTGTTGTTAGCATGCTAGTTACTGTTAGCTTAACATGGGCTAGTCGCTGCCTGAACCGCCTTTGTGCCTAGCTGCAGTTAGCCAACTGACGTCAATGGACGTTACGCCGAACCCCTCCTAAACCGGCCCGACCCCCCCCCCAAAAAACCTGCGTTTTAACGTAATTACGTTGAAATAAACGGCCGGTTGACTGTTTGTTTTTAAAGCGACGTAGGGGTAACAGAATCGTCAGCAGCGAGTGCAGGCGTTTCAGCAACAGCCGCGCATCCCTCCCCTCGGTGAGCCGGAGGCAGGCCGGTGTGTCGGGTGGGGGGCGGGGCTTGATCCGCAGCAGCGGGCACCTCAGCGTTCACGAGCGCCTCCGAGGATGGTGCGTTGCTTTACAGCGCCACCCAGCGGTGGGACGAGTTACGTTTAAACGTTTTGTTTCCATAGAAACGTAACGCCAGTGATTTGGTTACAGAATAAAATATAGCCATATAAAGTAGAAGAAACCATGCATCTAGGTCAACAGATCTGAATGACTTCTGACTTGATAATTTTTGTTGTATGCAAGTTCCTTACCAAGGTCACACAAGCTTCCACCCATAGGTTATTCTCCCTAAACTCTAAGCTTGTATTCAAGTCACATGGAAAATTTTATTACGGTTATTTTTCTGCACTGGACACAGAAAAACACCTGATTATTTTTATTAATTTTAATTAATTAATTAAGTTAAAAAGTAGTTAAGGTTTGATTTTTTTTTAACTCAAGTGTCATTTAAGTGACTTACAAAGTACTTGTTTTCCCTATGAATTAAATTAATTTTACAATAAAAAAACAGAAGCACGTTGACCATATACAAATTCAAGGATTCTTTATTGATAACCATTTGTAAAAAAAAAATGCATCACACTGTTTGTGGACAAACAATAACCTTTAATTGTGGAAAGAAAGTGTTTACATGCCCCAGCAACTTCATTAGAAGGATAAAAAGCCGTTAAAGCAGGAAAATGTAAATGTACCACAAGATCGGATTACAAAAGTCAAACACAAAAAAAAGAAACTTCACAGATAACAAAGCAAAAATCTGACAGGAAAATATTTCTAACCAATCCCCTCAAATGGGGCGTTTGACATTAATATCAACAGCAATTTAAAAAAAGAAATAAACATAATTACAGATTTCAGAGGCTCGTTTCTCGTTGCTAGAGACAGTGGCTGAAATGAGTTTGAGTGACATGGACGCTGGTAAACCATTTCAGACACTTTACGCGGAGAGGTCACTGCTGTTGAAGCGATCTTGGTCATACACCTCTGCGACTACTTTGCGACCTCCAAACCAGCGGTCGTTGAGGGCCTGGATGGCTTTGTTCATCTCTGAGGCCATTGAAAACTCTACAAAAATTTTGACAATGACATCTGCATCCTCTTCTTCTCCTTGCTTTTCTTGGTATATGATGACACGGTTGACGGCGCCAAACTTCCCACACTCTTCCGTCACCTCCCCCTCCAGATCGTCGTCAATGTCCTCTGGGCCAACCATATTTCTAAGCACCATGACCGTGGACTGGAATATAAAAAAAAAGGGAAAAAATGCACTCATTATTTTTGAGGGAAAAAAAAAAAAAAAAAAAGTGTGAAACAAAAGCAGTTCCTTTCACCGGGCTCACCTCTGATTTTCTGAGCAGTTTCTGCATCACCATGTGTCTGGCACTGCTGCCCGAGATGCTCATGTGTTCTTGGTCGCTCAACATCTCTTGGCCCGTTCCATCCTGCAGCGATTCCTCCTTCTCCTCCTTCCTCTCCAGCTGGTTGGAGGCGGCAGCGTGATTCGACAGGACTGGAGGCGACGCGAGCACGGGGTTCACAAGACCAACCTGGGGGAGCACTGGTATGGGAGGACGCACTGGCGTCACACCTTTATAGGATAGGCAGACATGCAGTCAGTCACATCAAGTGTGCAAACAAACGAGAAGAAGAAGAAAAAAGTCAGGTATTTTTGTGCGGATTTGACATGATAATCCAACATAATTACTATGGATCAAGTTTCATCCTGTCAAGCAAACATGTATTCATGGCTTGTGATTTGATAAGATTACAGTAAGTCACATTTTCATCTCCTTCAATTATTTGCTTCATTAGTACTAAAGTATTCAGTCATCTGGCGGACTGTACCAGTTGTCCTGATACAGTTCAAGTGATCCACATCAAGGAGGCTCCACATTCAGCAATTTTTTAGACAGAAACCATTTGGTGCCTTCAGAGTTTCACAATGCCTTCTGAAAATATCACCATTTACTCACGTTTAAAGGACGCAGAACAGTGATGGAGCTTTACGTCTCGGCAACAAAGAGGGTAGCATTAAGCTAAACTCTCCAGACGTAATGCCCCCATGGAGGAGATAATGTTTACATCCAGCACTGATTTTCATGTTGTTGAAAGTATTCCAGTGGTCCATTCCGATGATTATGAATTATTCAGCTTTTAACAATAACCAAGCAAACTAAAAACCCAATTCCGAACGTTGCTACATGAAACATTTATCATGTTGGAAACCTCTAACCGTTATTAAAATGAGCATGCTCTCATGGCTTGGTACACACCTGTGATGACCCCTGGTGCCTGAGCAGCCATAACAGCCTGAGGTATTCCCATTTGCTGACTTAGAAGCTGGGGCGCGGCTAAGGCCCCCAGGACTGAAGCACCGGCTACAGCCTCCTTAAGAGAGGGGGGGCCGAAGACATTAGGTAAGGGAAACACACAGAGCACAGCACAAGGCAACACAGTCAACAATCACACAACATGGCAGAGTGAGAGTGACCTCGCCCCGCTCTAGTGAGAGGCGAGGTCAGACTTTACCGTGATACAGAATCACAGAGTAATCTTAGCATAGCAAGTCATACAAATAACAAAGAAACATTCAAAACATTATACCAGAACAAAACGGTCTGGTTTATCATTGTCTAAAATATTAGGGTTGTATTTACAAAGACGACATTAAAGTTAATGAGTAGCTTTCATTTCATACAATGTACACTATACAAAAAGGACAATACATCTTTAGATTCACATTAAACTTGATTATTAAAAAAAAAGGTCACGCCCGAAATGTCTAATTTTACTGGGCTGCTAAATTGACACGGTGTCAGGGCAAATATTGTTTTCATGCCATGCTACAAGTGATAAACAATTCAATGCCCATATTATCTGTGCTTTCTGTGTCAATTCTAGCTAGGTCTGGGTTATATTTACCTGGAAGGCCATTAAATCCCTTTGGAAGGGATTCATACTTGCCTGGGCCGTTATCTTAGCAGTGGCTGCCGCTGCGGCCACAGCTGCAGCGGGCGGCAGACCACCGGGGGTCGTGGGGGTCAGTAGGGGCATGGGCGGGGTCACTGCTTTGCCCACCCGTAGGTACTGACCCCCCAGGTCAAAGAGGTTCATAGAAGAAACAGCGTCCAGGGCTGACTGAGGCTTTTCATACTCTGCAAGTGAACAATAGTAGTAGTAAACAGCGGAGCACTGGCAACACAATGAGAGCGAGCGAATGAGGGGGGCCCTCCAGCTCACCGATGAAGCCAAAGCCTCGGTGTCGCCCTGTGGTGGGGTCTCTGGCTAACGTGCAAGACTTGATCCTTCCGAAGGCCTCAAACACACTCTTGATGTCATCGTCAGAGAGGTCGGGGTGGACTGATGCCACGTAGATCCGATTAAAGGCGCGCGCCTCCTCTGCCAGCTGGTCAATGATGGGTTGCGCCTGACCGATGTTACTTGGCCGCCCAACCTATAGCACAGATCATACCAGCAGGGCTACTGATTAAAGGTTTTTGTTGTTTTGTTTAGGAACTAACCGTGAACGCACTACCGCAAAACCCCATGTCCCTGCAGCGCTAACTTTTTGACACTCCGAGTTTAATTAAAGCCACTCTCCTCTTAGTCATAGCACAATGGAAAGTTCTCTGGTTATCGGTAAATGTATATTATTACACTAATCTAAAAGAGGTTATGAGATTTTTTTCTTTTTTTTTTTAAAGGCAGAAACTGCCATTTTATCAGTCCTACACTGGCACAAAATAATGTACTAAATGCTTTTAATATATAAATAATTAAATATTTTTAGGACATGACCATGACACTAAACTTTTGAGTTCTGTGAGGATCACTTGAACTTTTCAGAACCCACTAAATTTAAATTAAAAACCCACCCACCCGTCCGTCTAACAAGATTTATTCAGGATGTCCACCTGCTGAACATTAATTTAATCACTGTACTAAAATTGTATTATTGTTAAGTAAATGTCAGATTGAGAGATTTTATTACACCAGTGACAAAATATAAAACTTTCCATTCATGTAGTGCCAATTATTACTTAATTTATAAAAACAAAGAACCTAAGCTATTCTGGAAATGACGGCAAAAGTATCAAAGCAGAGAACTGCAGCGTTATTTCAAAAGAACCACCAGCTCAGCCAGTCACACTGTGCGAGCACGGTGTGACTGGCTGAGCTGGTGGCAAACCGAATGGGGGGGACCGCATTTTAGTTTATTCACGCTAATTCTAAGCGGCCTGACATCTTCCTCTCCCTATGCAAGACGAGCATCTAAGTGCGACTGGGATCTGTACTACAGATGGGGCGGCCAAGCAACACCAACCAGGCGCAGCCCATCATCAGCACACCATGGACACAGAGCGACGCCACGCGCCGCTGGGCATCCTACTGGAACTGGTCACTAAAATAGCTTTGATGACATCATGGAAGCACAACACACAACACAGACAGTATTCTCAACATACACCCAAACATACACACGAACCTGGAAATCAACAAAACACAGAAAAACAAAGAGAAATAGGTCACATATGAGTAATTTGATCAGTACCACAATAGTAGTTAAGAAATTGCATTTTTTTTTTTTTAAACATAAAATTGGAAATAAATTGTTTTTTCGTTGTCCGTATTGTACCAAACATCTTGAGAGGTACTCCTGTGCCCAGACAACGTACCTTAATGTTTCGCCCCCCCAGCATGACCGAGTCATCTGCTCCAGAGCCAGCTGAGCAGCCTCGGGCACATCGTACTCCACAAAGGCGAACCCCTGCACAGTCAGGCAAAATGTGAGAACTAGAACATGTACAGCGTTCTGCCGCATTACATCCAGGTGGGAAAGACGACTTTACCACAAAATTACACTGACCTTGTGTTTCATTGTAACAGAATCCCAAGACATGTCAATGCTCTTGATTGGGCCAAAAGGGGCAAAGGCCTGTCTGATGGTGTCCTCACCCAGCTCATAGTATATGGAGCCCACATACACCCGACACATGATGGCCAGTGCACGCTGCCGCTGAGCTGCCACCTGCCAACCAGGGAGAACAACACATAAGCATTAGAGAGTAACAAAAAGGAAGGCAGATATAGTAAATGTGTATATTCTACCGTGCTTGCGTTCACCCCTGAAATACTTAAGAGGCCAAGTTCCAGTTAGGGGGTCTGGGCAGGTAAATAGGGTAATAATGCGGTACTGTAATCAGTGGACACAACTTAGTGAAAAATATTCTGACATGTTTAACAGTTTAAAAAGGTATGGATGGCACCACCTATATAGCCTAAATAAATAGGACTGCTATTCTGTCAGTACTGAACAAACATTGGAGAAAAACACACTGAAGGAATTGACATGCAAAGTCCTGACAAATAGTTGGCTTCAGTAACTGACCTGTAGTCCAGGGATGCAAGTAAGGTAACAAAAGTAATCGTGGAGTTCAAGCGAAATCAGTTCAATGCCTTGATGAAAGCATTTGAAACGATCTTCAAGGTCTAAGGGGAAGGATATCGGCTGTCCTTTTTACTGATGCCTCGAAGTCAGGCCGTTTCTGTTGTTCAATTATTTTACCAACAAAATGTTTCTGATTCTAGACATATTGGAAAGTTGATCTGATCATGGGCCGAAACATTTGACTTTGAGACAGCCAAAAGATCCCTGTTGCAGCCATTCCCTCATTTGGGTCCATTTAAAAAGGCATTGCTCTCTTTTGTCCCATGCAAAGAATTTTCTGTTCTAAAATTGAGCAAATGCATATATATATATATAAGATAAGTGACTTCTATCCCATTTAATAAGCTCATTAACAGCCACAAATGTTTGCCTCGCGTCTTTTTAAAAACAAAGGCAAATTATTCGATTGAGACTTAAGAAATCAAGTAACAAGTGAGTCTCTGGTTAACAGCGGTCGTGGTTGCAGGAACACTGGCAGTAGAAGCTTTTTAAATATGCATGTGTTGGTTAGAAATGGTGCAGGAAGTGTTGCCAAAGCAAGTAGTAAAAGAACAGTCCTTTTCCATTGATATGCACACAGAAAGATAATTTAATAATCTATTGACCGATTGTAAAGGTGAGAGAGGATCTCCAAAGCCCATTGTCACTGCTGCCATCTGAAAGACAGTAAAGACGAAAAAGGTGCTGAAAAGAAGGTTAGATATCCCTTAGCTATGCTTTTGTTTAAAATAGTCATTGCTTTGCTAGATAGATAAAAGCTGTAAGATTAACACCATATTGAAAACTACCTTCTAAAAACATAAGTTTTGCTAGTGAGATTCCCCATCTACAAATACACAGCAATAAACCGACAAGCCCCTATAAAAATGCAAAGCATTTAACATGATAATTAAATCTCTCTTGATGACCTTATCCATCTGGAAAGAGCAGAGGCAAAAAGCAAGGGCAAATGTATTACAGCTGTGGTATTTTCCACAGCGTTAGGAATCAAACATTTATCTTCCAGGTGCGTTGGACACACAAGAAAATTTGTCATGGTGGGTGGTGCATACATAGAACAAAGGAGAATAATGTACAATAGAAGAAAGGGAGTAAGACTTTCAAAGACTTGAATAAAACCGCTTCCAATTAGAGATGTCGGAATTACAAATGTAGAAAAATACAAAGACATTCTGCCTGAATTAAGACTCAAGACATTCCAAACGTTTTGGATGGCAGGGTACTAAAACATTTTACACATCTCACCTGCAGGTTGGTGAGCTGTTGCTGCTGATGAGCAATGGTTTGCTTCACCAACACACTCTTAATGCTTTGTTCCATGGCATACTTCTTTGCCTGGTGAAAAGAAGAAAATACATTATATTCAAATTGACATAAATACACTTTATCGTTCACTATTTATTTCTGCATTTTTTCCCCCTTGCAATATCTCACAAGGGACGTCCAATAACTCCGTGACCATCTAATGTGAGCAAGAATAGAACATAAGTGATTGTCCAACATTCAAATAAAGCCTTATCTTACATGTCAGCTGTATGAAAAATGAGAGCGAAATTTGAATAATTCAATGTAAACCAAATTATTATAGCTGTTACTTAAAAAAAAGGTATCAAATATGGAGAAAATCTCCAGGTACAAAAACTAGAAATGATCCAGGAGAGATCAGGTTTATTAAGTCCTTGAGTGACTATTATGCGTGTAGATAGTATGATTTATACATGGTAATTATATCATTACGGTACATTTAATCGGATAACACATGGGGGGGGTGTCGTACCCTCTGAAGTGCCTCCTGCTGCTCAGGGGTGAGGGGCGGCAGGCCCAGCTTGGAGCCTGTGCCCTGTCCATTCTCCATTGTCAGAGCTTCACCTCCCTGCAAATCAGAAACCCTACTTTATTTAGACAGAGAGTTTAAATAACATGGATATGGTCGAAGAAACAGCTGCCTATACATTAAAACGATATTTTTCCAATAAAGTTAATTGCAATCAGAACACATCACCGCACACAGTAGAGGTTTTAATTAAATATGCTAGCATATACAGGACATAGATCCGGACTTTAACCAGGTGGGACCGGACGAACTCCTTACCTACGCAACCCGCTAATGGCTGGGTCCACCAGACTGAGACAGGAAAGCCCCCAAGGGGAAGAGGACTGATGGGGAAGCTTTAACAATTCAACAAATTCTAGGGGAAATAAGAAATGCCTTCAGACTAACAATAAGAGAAACAGGCAGCTTGCATTATTTTTACATTGCAATCTTCACATAGCCAGCCCGTATTTCCCTTAAGTCAACTAACGTTAGCTTGTTGCACATGAATGCTAAGTAAATGGTGGCTGTCGTCATGAGCTAAGTTTGCTAAGATAACTAGCAACAAAGGGCTAAAGTTAACATAATTTTAACTGCTTGGGTTAATTCGATGTGGACATTAACTACTAAGTTACTATAATTGCTAAGAAAATTTTCGTACTTGAATATCTATAACCAAAATAAACGCATTATGCGGTTAGCGAGGCCTGGTTTCCATTTAGCTCGCGTTATCTTTGTAGCTAGCAAGGAGCTAACTAACGTCGGGCATTCATTACGATGGCGCGTTTTTTCTTAAGTGAGATAATACTTTACAGGATATTTAGTACAAAATACGTTCTATGAAACATCGCCAAATACTTAAGCAACCGCCAACGTGGATGAAAAAATGTAAAGTGTTTTTTTTTTATCAAGGAATGTATTTACCGCAGTCTCCGTAACCGCCATGAAGCACACCGTCTTAGAGAGGCCCTCGCTCTTAAAATATCGCGAGATCCTCGAGTGTTCAACAGAAAATATCGCGATAGTTTACCCGTGACGAGGCCATGGGCGGATGTGAAGCGTCGACTATAATCCCCGTACAAGAAGGTCGTGGTTAAATCGGTTTTAAAAGTATTATTGTGTCCAACAGAATATGTGACCTGATACCGAATTCCAAAAGCGTTTCTTCTGCCAATGTTTTAAACGAGGCTTTATTTTTGTTTACACCGTGTTATCTTCACATTTAGTTACACATTTTGATAGTGGTTAATCCGACACATTTGATTTCATGTTTACTTGATGGAGGACAAATACATTATACATATATAATTGCAAAACAACTATTCAATGTCATACCGTCATTAATACACAAGTTATCTGTTCTTTCCTAGAATGATAGGATTTGATAGTAGATAATATCTCAACCAAGGTCACTGCTACTCTACATAGTGAGAGACTTCAATGGGACATGTTATTTAAAAAATAATAATAATGTTTTTATAATTATTTTTAGATTTTAACTGACGAAATAAACCATGTTCATTTCAAAGTCAATCAAAAGCATTTATTTTTGCAATTTTATTTCAGTCCTTTTCAGTTTGTTTACTGAGGAATAAACCACAATGTTTTTTTTTAGTGTTTTTAAGTGCATTTAAAATTAAATCAACTGTATTTCTCCTTTTCTCAATTTGTTTTGATTTGCAATATGTGAATATAACTGACTCTGATGAACTATAATAGGACCAGAAGAGAAGAAGTGAGGAAATAAGAGTGAGTGAATATACCTTTCATTCAATAATATATACTATGTATATTCCCAGAACTGGAGATGCCAACTAATCATAACATTATGTTGGATTCAATTTAATTGATTTGAATGAAATGTGTTATTGTGAACATCATCATAGGCTCAATACATACCGCAAAATGTATTAATAGTGGTTGATTGTGCAACATTACAGCCCAGTCCAATCAATAAATAAAAAATACAAATAATTTCAGATGTGTCACATGTTGTATTGTCGTTTATTTAATTGTAGTAGCCTCTATATTTAACAAAGGTTTAAGAATAACACATCTAAAAGGCAAATTTCATTCAACAGTTTCACAGGAAAAGAAGTAATTTCACATAGAATGAGACTGATATGGGTGTTTTCTTTCATGTTCACAGTCAAAAACATTCATTTTCTTGGCCAGGTCCCCTGTGAAACGGAACTGTGACTGACAAAGGCAAAATGTTAAGTTTTGAATGTTTGCAGGCTATTAAGACATGCATCTGACTAGATCAAAAGAGAGCAATAGTGGCACTTCTTTGTGTGTGAAAATGTGTCAAAAAACGAACAAATATGTACACCACCCCCCCCATAGTCTCTGACTGCCGGGGAGAATTCATGAATCCTGTCTTCAGAGACACTGATGAGACGGCCTGACACAGAGTAGAGTAATAAGTACTGTAAGCAATGACTGTACAGCAGTCTATATGAAGCCACGACTTTACGGAACTGGGAAACAAATGAAGCAGAGCTAAATGAGACCAAAAAAAAACTCCACTGCTGCAAAATTACACTGCTGCAATCAGACAGTTCATCATTGTTTTGTTTTTGTGCTCTCCGGTTTTGTAAAAGAACATTCCACCATTCTTTAAACGGTGCCAAGATTGGACTTTTGTCAAAAAAAATTCTGCCGAGCTGAGGGAGAGCACTGTTTTTTTTACGTTTGTGTGCACTATCAATCCCAAAGTTCCCACTGAAGTTGTGTGGAAGAAAACTAGCGTAGTTCTGGTCCTGGGAAATGGCCGTGTTAAATGGCAAAATGTTACTCTCTTTTATCATGGATAATGTTTTATCGCCTGCAGCCCGTGTAAACCTCTAGACCAGAGGCGACCGCTGCTGACGGTTACGTAAAAGACAAAAATGCTAAAATTATACATTCCTAACGACTTTTGGGTAGATACTTCCTTTAAAAACTCCTCTAGACACAAAACCCGTTCGGCATTCCACAATATGCTCAGGTGGTTTGGAAAATACCCCAAAAGTGACTATAGCAGTAATATTTAACAACACTTTTTAAGTCTTAAGACTACATCACCATCACACCTCTTCTCATTTATATAAGACTATTATTTTAGTTCACGCACTTCCTGTGATCTATTACGATCGCCCATGAGCTGCAGCTCATTCACATCATCACATCGTCCACAGGTCCAGTTCGGGAAAGGCTGAAGCTCTCGAAGGAGCCGCCATTACTGGGGGACGAGCTCATCTTCACATTCACGCGGGCCGACGGCGTGGACTACACGATAGTACACGAGCACAAGTAAGAATCAATGCGTCTGGTTTCAAAAGTCACCCCAAATATGTTTTAATTCCAAATTGCGATGATGGGTGCCGTGTGCCGTCCAAAGTAAATTGCCGTTTCAGGCACTTTGCAAGTCTTTGGCTTTCAGAGCGCTTTCACAGGGAAATCCCTTAAGAGCACTGCAGGCTAAAAGAGAGGCGTCGTCTCATTGCTCGTCACTACATTTAGGCATGGTGTGATTGGCTCCGGGAGAAGAAGCCTTCGAAATTAAAAAAAAAAAAGAAACGGCTCGTGGAGAGCGTCTCTTGTTCACAGTTGAACATAAATAAATAAGTTAACTGAATGAGTAGCATCAGTGCACGTTGGACGGAATCCTAAATTCCTTTAACTGTCATAAACCGAGCGTTCTTGTACAGGAGAGAGGCTTTAGTAAATTACTTTCTTTACAACTCAAAGGAAAAACGTCACCAATCAAAGTGGACATTGGAGTGCAAAACGAGGCTCATGAGCAATTAAAAAGTCCTTCTGAAAACCCATCTGCTGCATTTCTAAGTAAAACACGTCCGTTCCGAGTAGCGGCATCATGGAAAAGCCGTCAAGACAGCTTAAGGCGTGATAGCCCTCTTAGACAGGAAGTGTCAAACTTCCACTGCTTTGCTTCGTGGGGTCGCTGAACACATCCGCGGTCCCTCCGCCCCCCCCCACCCCCCCCCAACGAGAGGTGACTTCGGTTCCTGCCGTCCCCTCTTTTCCCACTGGGATGATTTCCGGGCGGTCGAGGCCCGCCATGCTTTCCGTATTTGTCCCTCCGTTCGTCAGCTCCCTCCGTGCCGGGCCGCAGGATCCCGTCCGCTGTCCCGCCAGACGCTGCTGTCACCGCCCCCACCCCCGGCCCCTCACGGCTCCTCCTCCTCACTGAGTGGTCCCGGAAGCCAGCCCTCGGACCCGGTGACGGCAGATGGCGTCCTCGAGGAACCCCGCTACCTTCTCGCTGTCCTCCTACGTGGGACGTTCAAAAGATGAGGAAGATGAGAGAAAGAAATGCCGGGACTCACAGTTTGTTGAAGAACAAACATAAAGAAGCTTTTATAGCTACCTCATTAATGAAGGCGTAGTGAACGAGTTCACTGGCAAGGTCTTTGGAGGAGTCGGCTGAAAGATTCATGAGATATTTTGGTTGCAAAAATCACAGAGGTTTTTAACGATACTTTTAGGTGAATTTTTCTTCTTAATGTCAAACCGTCCAAGACCAAAAAGAACATTGATAAAACTAACAAGTACCACTAATGGTAGCATTTGGACACACTGTTGCCTAGTTACCACATGGGTAATGTGGGCCTGAGAGATACAGAGAGGCGGTGGAATAATCACCGACTGACACTCTCGATGACTACAGATTCCATAAAAATACAGAATAAAGGTGTCGCTCTCTTTTTGAATTGGAGCTGTGGTGCACTTACTTGGAAGAATGTCACAGCTAAGCTGCCTGTGAAGTTTGTCATCCATCTTCAGAAACAAAGAGAGCTGTGGACGGATAGAAAAGTCTCATTTAAAATCAAGCCGGATTCAAGTTTAATCACCATAAGCGACTGAACGTCTTACAGCGATGTTTGTAAAGACATTGAATTCCGTTTCTGGACAAAATACAAATATGCTTAATAAATAAGGAGCCTAGCAAAAGAGTATACACCCCAGAAGTACCTATAATACTACGTGACTCACGTGCGTTTTGGTCCCTTCTTCGTTTGACTCCAAATTACAGTGCATCTGGACAACCTAACCAAGAAAAAATATCTTTTAGTTGATCATAAACAGGCATTCTACTAATATCGCTCAACTTGTTTAATATTTCATGTGGTTGTCAAATATGAGGCTGCTGTTTATTTAACGCTATTTCGTCTCACCTTCCTCGATTCTGTCTCCTGGGGTTCAGGCGTCGGCGTCTTGACCGTCTCCACCTGCTCCTGGGACAAGGACAGGGCTCGGGGGACAGGGTGAGGCCGGGACGAGGCAAAGTTCATCAAGGGGTAGATCCCATTCCTGAAGAGGGGACAGGACAAACGCGTTGAGCCTCATGCTGCGGCATCACACCGCCGATGCGAATCGAGTCGCCGCACTTACTTCACATCCTCCAGAAACTTGTCGAGCTCCAGAGGGGACACGTGGGAATATCTGCGGGACGCGAGGAAACGCACAGGGGACCACAGTGAGCGCTGTGCTTCTCACGATATTCATGAACAGGAGACAAAAATAATGGAGGTGCATGTGAGATTTTACTTGAGCTGCACTCCCTCTCTGTCGTCATGCTTGATCTCCGCCATGACGGCGTTGGGGTCGAAGGACTTGGTTTTCTCCTCCACACAATTTTCTGGGAGCAAATCTGAAGATGTAGAAGACAAGTGGGCGCGTCAGCCGATCGGATGCACGTGCTTTCGGTCGTCTGGTTTTCAGATGGGTTTTCGGGAAGACTTTGGTAAGCGCAGCTCGGCGTGCGGCGGCGGTTGAGAAACTCACACTGGTTGTTGATGAGGCAGTGGGCGGCGAGCAGTTTGAGGGAGTGGACCTCGAACAGGACCCGGTGGAACAGGAGGTCGTGAGCCGTGGGACGGAGCTTGGCTTCGTGGCGCAGACAGGACTGGGTGAACTCCTGCGGAAAGCAACCGGCGCGGTGAGATTTCAACCTAGAACCAAGGTGGTCACGTGGGGGGAGCGTCACGGGTGTAATGTGGGACAGTTTGTCTTCATGCTTCCACCGGTGTGTGTTCATGGTACTCACTCTCATGAGAGGGTCTTCAAGAGATTGACCTGCATTAACGATGGCCTCCTTGGACACAGCAGTATCTCCGTTGGCCTGGATCTCCAGTACGGCCATCTGGAGGTGCAAATAGTTCGTTAACACAATCACGCGCACACACACACACACACACACTGAGGGGAGGGCCACACAGAGCGGTTTCTCTCACCTCTAGAGCACAGATGCCGAAGGAGAAAATGTCTATGGCATAATCGTCTTCGCCGGCTGGAAATGGAGAAGAAGAAGCGGGCAAAAGTGATGACTGAATTCACACTCAGTCCGTTAAGAATGAATCAAGATAGATTTTTCGATTGGAAAACGAGCCCACAGAAAGCTCCGCACAACCTGCGCTCCATCACACTCACATCCATATTCCGGAGCAAAGAAGTGCAGATTCCTCTGCTCGTCCCGGTGCTGCCTGGCTTTACTGTGGACGCTGGCATCCGGAAACACTGATTAGAGAAGGCACAAAAAGTGTCAATTCATTACATGAAATAAGACGATGGGTGTAACGCGAATTGATTAAAATCACAGAAAGGATCCATATCTTACCATTAACAAATAGCCGGTGCCACACTGTGGAAAGGAAATGAAGCATAGTTGAGATATTTCTTCTCCTTTGTAAAACCGCAGAGATGAATTTAGTAAAGCGCACATTGAGGGTACAGTACAACATGAGTTTCCCTAAACTGGTTGTAGTAACACAAAAAGCTCTGCAGGGAGCGGACCTGAGCCGATCTTGATGAGGCCGTTGTGCTGAATGAAGATGGTGTCACAAGTCAGGTTGGCGTGGATTATTGGAGGCTCACAAGAGTGCAGATAGCTGCCGGTGAACAATAAAGCGTCCAGTTAATGTGAAAACTGACAGTATAAATCTGTCATGTTTAAATCCTGGGCGAAGAAATCAGTCAGTACCTGAGGGCAGAGAGAATCTGGGTGCACCATCTCTTCCAGGCCTGAAATATAGTGCACAAGAGCAAAATGAAGACAAAGATCCCTCTCCAACTCTCAGGAACATATTGCAGGAGAATACCAAACGTAGGACTGTGACGACTTGGAAAACAGCAAACGCAGAAGACAAAAAGGGTGCGGACGAGAAGCAGGTTTCTAAGAGGTATACGTCCGAGCAGACTGAGCTACCAGGGCGTCCTGTTACATCATCTCTAATCCTGCAGGACATATGGATCTGAACAGTGAGCTGACTGCAGTGCTGTGAGACACCACCAGGGGGCACGCCAACGCGGCGTGCGAGCAACAGAGAAAACTAACCTTTACGTTCATCGTCTTGTGGTTCTTCTTGGTTTTCTTCAGAAACTGCTTCAGGCTGCCCGACGACATGTATTCTGTGATGAATATAACCTGCGGGACGCATATTGAGGGAAAAGCGGAGTTGTGTGTGAGTGTGGAGAAATAACGACGGACCAAGAAAGAGCGCAGAGGATTAGAAAGATCGTACCCTCGCCTGGCTCTCCTTCATGTCCAGCCAGTACTTGTGGAACTTGACAATGTTGGGGTGTTCGACCTGCATCAGGTTCTCAAACATCTCCTTGATCGTCTCCTAAAAAACACACACACACACTTTACGTCATGGACCACGTGGGGTCATTAAATCCCTCGGCCTGTACCGATTGAGCTTAAACTGTTCATCCTTTACGCGATCAGTAAAGATACAGAATGAATACTGTCAGTTTTGGTCGGATGGGGTAAAAAAAAAAAAAAAACACAATACCTCTTGTGCTTTGAAGACCTTCTTGTCCGAGAAGAGGACCTCGTTCCACACCACCTCCACGCCCTCCTCCGTGTCCATGGCCAGGGAGGCGCTCTCCACACCTGGGACATTACCTTGGCTCACCTGCAGGGGGCAGACGGGAACAAATGGCAGGACTTAGCATGACGCGAACTCTGCATTATTTTGAGCACTCATTTATTGCTATTCTAATTTGAAGATATTAAACCTGCGCTACTGGGCTCCACACAGACGTCTAGAAGCGACTGCCAGGCCTGTTTTATGTATTTATCATGTTAAAACACGACTAGCACTGATGGCAACCAAGGAACAAGAAGGAGGTTGCAGATTTCCCAGAGTGGTTGCTAATAGCAACCGGGCCAACATCACCCTGAATTAATCAATCAACACGGAGCAACAACGTCATTTGGAGACGTGATAATAGAGTCTCGCTTTAGCTCTGCGTGGCCAACATCCTCTGAGGGAAACAATTTGTCCCTTCAGCTGCTAAACGTTCCATCTTAACCAGCTGGTCTCAAACTGTGTTCACGGGAGACGCTTGGCGACGGCTGTATGAGAGCGTTCTGTGCGTGAGCAAAAACAGTAAAACAAAACCAGCAGGAGAGTTTGCAGATGGCGAAATAAAAAGCACTTGTGAAATTATTTGACGTCACCCCTGCGGTTATAATATCTGATGAAAAGACTTAATAAAAGTTGCATTTAACACGGCATCTTAAATGTGGCCCAGCACTAAGGGGGTGAGGCGTAAAGAGGGGAGATAGGATGCGCAGCGGCCCGTGTAACGGGGGGAATAGATGCATTAGCAGGAGACAGAGAGCGAGAAGTGAGACTATTTTGTGGTGTGAGGGATTTAGAGTGACGGGCGGGGGGGGGGGGCAGCGGCTGGTTTTAACAACTAGCAGACGCAGACTGTCCCACGGCGCCATAAACCAAAGACTGCTGCTCATCACAGGATGTTGCAGCCTCAGCTCGGCGGACCTGCTTTGATTCATCTATGCAGCAGAAGTACCAAAACAATGATGCAATCGACTGATTCTCGGGAAGATGCCATGTTTTCCACCCAAGACGATTCTTTCTTTCTCCGACTCCAGGACCCTGACCTCTGACCTGACGGTGGAGAGTTAGCGCTCTAGTTGTGGAGAAGAAAGCATTTAACCAGAATAAACAAGTCTAACAAATCGACTCCAATCACCGCAGCCACAGAAGCCACCTCCACTATTCGGATGTTACATCCGTGATAAGAAACCACATGTCTGGTGTGTTTGTTGCTCAACCTCCAGCTGTAAATCTCTCTTTGCAAAGGGAGGCGTAACAAATAATCTCACTACTTCCACCGCTAGAAGAGATGATAATCTGATTACTGGTATTACAGAGCTGGAGCGCAGTCCTCGAGGTGGCTGGCAGAAGAGGGAGTCCCTTCGCTTCAGAAGCTATCAGGAAGGAATTTTGTCGGTTTCCCCCTGGCGTCGGGGCTCGGCTGCTGTTTATTTTCTCTGGATGTTGAGAAACACTCGGCCGCCTGTCCCAATGTTCGCTTCCCCGGGGGGGTTTTTAGCTCGGTCCTCGTAGCGCGAGACTGGTAAACATCACACTGCCGGGCCGTGATTGGCTGCTGGAGAGGGAGGTGGGTTTAGGGTGCGGAAAAAGGGGATTTAAGGGATCGTGTGCACATGTCAGGACAACTTCTATCCTGATGTTTGTGAACTACACGTCGAAGCCGGGTGAAACTGGATCGTAAAAACAGGCTGACAGGCTAACCTGTCATTACCTCACCACACGTATCTCACCCACCCGATTCTCCGTATTTGATTTTGGGAAGGAGGAACAGTGGTGGATGTACAGCACGGGGGAACAAAAACAGAAAAAAAGGACAACAACGTTAAACCTCAGATGATACCTTTCCCTCTCCGTCAGCGCAACCAAGTCCACTTTAATGACGGCCACCATGGGAGGAAAACAGACCTGGCGTGATACATCACTCCTCCCCCTCTGCCCACATGCAGCGTATCACCTGATCACCATCATGGCAACACAGCAGCACGCTCCTCCCAAACTCTGGACAGATGATCTTTGATGAAAGTTAAATCAACGGATGAAAAAGTCAAATAGTAAAATTAAAACACAGTATAACAGAGGGTTGGAAGAGTATTTTCTATGTATACACGGTCACATAGCACTGGTTCCCTTGACATGAAGTAGACGGGACTTTGTCAGTAGACTTTGGATTATTGCAATCAGAGCCTCTTCAAAGTTCGGTCTATTTACTGACTGTTTAATATTGTGGAACAATCCGTTCCAGTTGACAACAGACCTTATTTCAGACAATCCAACCAAAGAAAAAACAAGAACCGGAAGTGAACAAAGGAAAACAAATTTCCGGGTTTTAGGGCTCTCCTGCAAAGTCAACTAAGCCGTAGTGATGCAAGTGTATTAAAACTGCCAGGCAATAAATCCCGTTCAGTATTTGAGAGGTTTGATAACCGCGTGGAACCTTTTTAGAAGGATGTAGTTTGTGGTGATGAAGTCTAACATTTATACTGTGTTTGCCGTGTACATTGCCGGTACGCACAAACACACCTCACATTTGTGCAGTCGACTTGTACCTCACGCAGAGGAAAGAGCTTCTTTCATCGCCCAAAATCCGATCGGTCATCTATCTTAAAAATACAGAAAAGGATGAGCCGGGGGAATAAACTTGCTCTCACAGCAGAGGCCCGAAAGAGCGTCTTTGTCTGCGTGGGTCCGAGCTTCGGCGACAAAGAGCTTTGTCTCCCGGGCGTCGGAGCCTCGCCTCCGCCGCCACCTCGTACCTCACGATGAGCTGGAAGGCCGCCCCGCGTTGTTATTAATAAGTGGGCTTTATACAGGCAACACCCAAGTGATCTGCATCTGTCTGTGCTAGATGCTCGCTCGGTGTCTGTGCTGTATGTAAATGAGTGCAGATTTCTTTCTGCTCTTTGTTTGTGGGGGGTTTTCTCTCCGTCTCAGAGAGAAAAAAAAAAGGAGCGGCATCAAAGATTTACAGGGAAAAATGTGCATGTGGTAGTGAAGGAATAAGATGAACTGTCAGAAATCGCAAATGAAAAACTAATTATACTGTACTGAAAAGTGTATTGTGACAGATATTTGTAATATCAGCAACAGGGGTCAATTTCTGCTCATTGCGTGGACAACAAACAGCTGCTTGCTGATAACACTGTTAAAAGGATCTGTAAGTAGCGTTCCAACGACAAACCGACGCATCGGCAGAACCATGCGAGCAGACGAGCCAGCATTGCGCTGGACGTCGGTATCATCCGGACCTCTCCAGCGCACATTCCTGCCCGGCTAAAGGCCCCCGACGCTGACCGTCTGCTGACCCTCAGCAGCTCTACTGGCAGCTCCACTGACCGCCCTCTTTCTGTCACCCCCCCCCCCCAACCCCTCCGGGAGGCCACATGTGCTGCACACAATCAGGTCAACGTCCGGGGATAATGTGACGGCGACGGGAAAGGCGCAACAGTCGTTGACAGTCGGGAGAAAGCGCCATCACGAGACGAAATCGCGTCAACTTGTCCGCACGTCCTCAGACGAAAGCCCTCCGTCCCCTACGGGATCTGAATGAACGTGCTGGCATGATCTCCACAAGGGGAGACTAAACAAAACAAAAAACAGGACACGACGCAGGGAAAGTTATTCAGCGTGTTTTAATGAATCTCTACTGGAAATCCAAAACACTACAGATATGTCCTGGGTGTTGAGGACTGAGCGCAGGGCGTGCATTAGTCCGCGTGAAGGGGAGCTGTTTGCAAATCGGAGGCGTTGATTAGAGATCCTTGAGTGGAGGCTTTCAACGGCACTTTAGCAAAAACCACATTCTTAAGAAGGCCTTATTTATTGAGCGTTGGACTAGTCCAAGCAACAAAAGTGAAGAGTAGCGGCTGTATACTTGCATGTAGACACTAAAACATCAACGTGTTTAAGTCAATTGAGGATACATGTGGCTTTTTTTCTCCTCTATATATGAAGCTCTGCATCTTTTTCTTTATTGAAAAATCAACTTTTCATTTCAGCGCCAGTCAGCCACCGGCTCTACTCGAATCTGCTGTGACCCCTGTGACCTCTGCGCCCGTTGAACCCATGAGCCTTCACGGAGCCGCCAACCCAAAAAAAGCCCTTAAAACCCACAAACACTCTGTTCCAACCAATCCAACAGCACACGGTGGGTGTTTATCTGCATACCTACTGTGTTTGCTCCCTGCTTAACCTCTTAAGGAAAAGAAGATTAGAGCTGACATTCGGAACATTTAACGGGTACAGAGTGTTGGGAGATTCATTTTCTACACAACATTCAATAGCATAGAAAAGCCTTCACATGGTTTTTATGTTTGATTAAGAAAAAAAGTGTGAGTGGTATGTTTTTCCCTGATGAACAGACTCACTGCCTTTTATCACACATCGTCCTTGTACTTGAGAGGTTGAACTGCATAATGCAGCAACATAAGCCACGATCAGGCTGTCAGAACTGCAGCTGAACACATCTTAAAAAGACAAATGTGATAGAGAGGGAAGGTCACCAGTCACACTCGCAATGCCACGACCGCCGCCGGTGCACCGCGGATTAATTCATAAACGGAAACAAAGAAGTGAATCATACGCAGTTGAGGTGGGAATTTGTGTCTGATTTCTCTTTAATCTTTCAGACGGTTGGGCCTCCGAAGACTGGCTTGTTTGTAACGATCCTCCCCTCGCGAGTCCAACGGAGCAGGAAACGCCTTCAGAATCTCCACTCGGCATAAGAAACGGCGTCTCCTCTGCCGCCTGGAGGAACATTCCTTCACAACAAACGCGCTTAAATAACTTGGCATCTTTTACCACAGCGCTGAGATTTGTGAAAGTGCTGAGTCATAATCGTGGATCACCGACGGCTCTTCTCTCCGGTGTGGATTCGCCGCCGCCTTCTACGCTCGGTCACGTCAACGCGCTGAGGAACGAAGCCGCCTCGATTACTACACAATTACCCAAACGTTCCCACTGACGAAAACCTCAGAGCGACGCCTTCCTCTCCAGCGCGTGTTTTCAGCAGGAAGGCGGTCTTCGGGCGGCGGTGTCCCGGCCCTGCGGAGTCGCAGGCCGAGTCCGGCACCGGCGCCGGGTT